TATAGGAGTCCATAACTGCCACCCATTTGCTGACCCTGGTAATTCTGTTATTAGCAACAGCATAGACTAGAACAGTCTAAAAGCATGGAGTGTTCTGGGAACTGCAAATTGTCCATTGTGGCTAGAGCAGTGGAGACAAGAGGAAGGTAGAAAAGCTGCAGAAGGCCAGACAAGATCCTGTTGCGCTTGAGGGTTTTGAGGTCTCCACTGAGGGCAAAGAACATTTTAGAAAGGGCTATTGTGGGCCCAGCAGATGGCGGAATGGTTACGTTGTTGAACTTCCATGTAGTCGACCATGGTTTGCATCCCAGACCTAGTGACTTAAAACTCAACACCAGGCGTGTGCGTGCGTGCCCAAAATCCCAAGAGGAGAATGGCGAAGGGATTGCAGGGTGGCCGTCCCCACTGGGGGGATGATTTTTCACTTTCTGTCTCTGTCTCTCCATTGAGTGCATAGAAAGAAAGGAAGGAAGGAAGGAAGGAAGGAAGGAAGGAAAGAAAGAAAGAAAGAAAGAAAGAAAGAAAGAAAGAAAGAAAGAAAGAAAGAAAGAAAGAAAGAAAGAAAGAAAGAAAGAAAGAAAGAAAGAAAGAAAAGAAGGAAGGAAGGAAGGAAAGAAAGAAAGAAAGAAAGAAAGAAAGAAGGAAGGAAAGAAAGATAGAAAGGACTGTTGAGCATAGAGTGGTTTCCAGGAGAAAGCCTGTAGATGAGGGTCGAGGAGTTCTAGGAAGTACAGAGGCGCTGGGCGGCCAGGCTGATGCCGAGCCAGGCCAGTGCAGAAGGAAGGAGGCATTGAGGAGGCAGCCTGGCCAGGACAAGGTGAAGGGCTCAGGGGTGGGGACAGGGATACCCAGGTCTCCACCTTGAGGGGTCAATAGATGGAGATGCCTGCCTGGAATGGGAGCGAGCAGGTTTGAGGGAAAGATTGGGTTCTGATTTGGGCTGGTGGAGTTTGGGTTCAGACAGGCAGATTTCCAGAGAGAGGAAGTTGTCCATACAGTCAGCTGCTAAGGGAGGCCGAGCCTTCCTGGGCGAGAAGAGGAGGAAGTGTCCACTAGGGGCGGTGGCTGGAGGACACTGGTCTCAGCAGGAGCAGTTTGGCCGTGCAACCTTGGCAGGAGTCAAACTGTGAACGGAAGGAAGTGAGGAGGTGAGACAGGAGCGAAGTGCAGACCCAGTTCCAGGTGAAGGGAGAGAGTGGCTGGAGCCACAGCTCAAGCCAAGTAGGTGCCTTGGTGTTTTCTGATTTTAAGTTGGGGGGACTCACACCCTTTGGAGTGTGGGAAAATCCAGAAGAGAGGGCATGGAGTTTGGAATACAGGAAGGGCACGGGGAAGGCATGGAGGCCTGGGTGGTCCTGTTGTGAGGAGGCCCTTTCTTCCCCTGTAGCGAGTGGGAAGAGGTGGACGTGGGGGCAAGGCTAGAGGTTTAGAGGCTGGAAATGAGGGTTCTCTGGGGATGGCGGAGGATGGAGAGTGGAGTGGAGACTCAAGAAGTCTGAGGGCTTGAAATGCCGCTGAGGAGGGGGCGGGGAGCGCAGGCAGACAGGACTCTTGGGCTAGGTGAGCCCAGCTGAGGGCAGAGACCCTGAGTTTACGGTAGCTCCAGCCGGTGCCAAAGCAACCTGGGTATAGAGTTTTCTTTTCTTGGGTTTTTGCCATGGGGGTGTGCCCTCATTAGAGAGACAGAGAGAGAGAAAGTGAGACATCACCCCCGGGGGAGATGGCCATGCTGCGATCCGTCTCCTCCATCCTCCTTTCGGTATTTGGGCATGTGCGTGCACACACACAGAGTGATTTTCAAGTTGTCAGGTTCAGGACTTGAAACATGGCCGGTCATGTGGGAGCCCAGTGCCTTTAGCACCATACCCTCCTGGCTCCTGGTCATGGCGTTTTTTTTAGGGTGATGAGAGAACCCTGGAACAAGAGGCAAGGTGCAAGGGAGTCAGTGACTGACTGACCACGGGGTGGACTGGTAACAGTGGGAAGTGAAGATGGGAGGGGTCAACGCATTGGGGGGAAGAGGAAGGCTCGGGCCAGAACTAGGACTTTTTTTGAGATTCTTTGTTATAGTGTGTGTGCTTGCCAGAGAAACAGAGAGAGACAAAGTGAGAAATCACCCCTCCCCCAGGGGATGACCATGTTGTAATCTCTTCTCCATTCTCCTTTTGGGATTCTGAGCACACATACGCACACACCCAGTGTGAGTTTCAAGCCACCGGGCCCAGGACTCAAACTGCGATTGGCCACGTTGGAGTCCATCATCTTAACCATTATACCACCTGCTGGCCCTGAACTAGGGCTGTTTTAATAAAAATATCTTAGACTGGTTAATTTTTTAAAAAAAGAATTATTTATTTTATTTATTTAATTTTACTTATTTATTCACTTATTTTAATTTTACCAGAGAGAGACAGAGAGAGAGGGAAAGTGAGAAAGAAAGCCACCAGATCTGGGACTCAAACTGTGGTTGGCCATGTGGGAGTGTCTAGTGCCTTAACTACCAAGCCACCTACTGGTCCTTTAGACTGGTTAATTCATTAATTAATTTTTATTTATTTATTTTTTTAACAAGGACATCCTTGTGACTAGCTCTCAGTGAGGGAGGGAAAGACAGCTCAGAAGAACAGTGAGGGCCAGGTGTTGTGCAAGTCTACAGAACACGGCCCAGCACGCCCTGGAGTTCTGCCTCCCAGTGGGATGGGGAGCCATGGAAGGTCATGAGTGAGGGATGATAGTACTTGACTAATTTGGTTGTTTGTTTTAAGAATTATTTATTTATTTAATTCCATTCGTTATTATTATTATTCAATGTGACCCGAGAGAGAAAGGGAAAGTGAGAAAGCAAGCCACTAGTTCCCAGACTCAAACCGCAGTTGAACATGTGGGAATCCAGCCACCTGCCTTTAATCACCACGCCACCTGCTGGCCGGATTGTTTAATTTATAAACAACCAAAATTTATTGCTAAGTCTGGAGTCTGGAAAGTCCGAGATCAGGGAGTTAGCGTACTTTCGTATATGGGACTTCTAGCCTTGTCCCTACCAAGGGAAGCAGGGTGAGCTTCCTGGGGGCTTTTATTTACACTAATCCCTTCGTGCGAGCTTTTGTGGCCTATTCAAAGTCCCACCTCTTAATATCATGACATTGGTAATTGGATTTCAACAGGAATTTTAGGGGTCACAAACATCAGACCATCACACCTTCATAGCCAATAGGATGGGCAGAGGTGCTGAAACAACTTTGGGATAGATAAGAGGGGACTCCGATTTGCTTCAGAATGGGGATCCCCATGCTGGGGCTGGAAACACCTTTGCATCTCCCATCTCTCCAAGAGGCTTCCACCGGACCCTTCTCATCGCAGGGCCACGGGGCCTGGAAATGGCCCCAAGTGGAAGCTGTGACCAGAGCCTGATGGGGGCCTTGTTGCCAGGCGGGAGATCAGGACCCCAGGGTTCAGTGCCCCCACATACTGCCCCTCACTAGGTAAGTCCCCCTCTCCCTGAGTGGAGACAGTGTCCGCAGGCCTAGTTTCCCTTTCTGACCCTGGGAAGAGGCTGAAGGGAGACCCAAAGGTGTCTGTGGGAAAGTAGACCATCCAGGTGGTGGTGGTGCAGAGTGAAGGGGGCCTCTCCTCCAGCCTATCTTCCCACCCCTGAGCTCTTCCAGCCTGGCAGGTGCATTCTTTCTAAAGGAGCCCTTGCGTATCCTCACAGATGTGTCATCAGCCCGATTTTGCCACGAGGGCCTTGAATCGCAGGGAAAGCTGCCTGTGGTTGGCAAGGTGGCAGATACCCAGCTAGAAGCCCACTTCTGGTGCTCCCGGCCAGCCCCTTTGCTTCCCTTCTCCAGGGAGGGCTGGAGACCCCCTTTCTATCCCAGCAGGTTCTAAGGCCCCGGGCTCTGCCCTAAGGAAGGTTGTATCCCTGCTTTGAAGGAGACTGGGTGGCTGTCCTGGGTTCTAAGGTGTCCTAAGTCTACAGAGTCTTAAGAGTGAACTTTGCTCTCTTAAAGGGCCAGAGCAGTGCTGGTGCTGGCGACCGAGGCCAGGACGGTGACCACGGAGGACGCTCGGCGCGGACCACAGTGGAATGGCGCACCCAGGTCAGGGGTACCCCTTCTCTGCCCCCTAGGCCGCGTCATTCTTCCCAGCCCACGCGTCGCTAGCGGGTCCGCGAAGTTCCGGTCTGGACCCGCCAGAGGGCGCCCGCGGCTGGAGGAGGGGCGGGAGCCGGGGAGCCCGGGAGAGGCGGCAACCGAGTCGGTTCCTCTCCGCTGGGTCTGTGGCGGTGGTCCCAGGGTCGGACGGAGGGTCAGAGAATCTGGATTGAGGGAGGCCTGGATTCCGGAGGTTGAAAGCTCGGAGCTCCAAGGAATCCAGCGTCCTCAGACGCCGGACTGGCTGCAGGGCCGCCTCGGATGCCGTCACCCCGGACCCTCCCCTCTTCCCCCTACACCCCTCCGGGTTCCAGCCGCTGGGTCTGTGGCGGTGGTCCCAGGGTCGGACGGAGGGTCAGAGAATCTGGATTGAGGGAGGCCTGGATTCCGGAGGTTGAAAGCTCGGAGCTCCAAGGAATCCAGCGTCCTCAGACGCCGGACTGGCTGCAGGGCCGCCTCGGATGCCGTCACCCCGGACCCTCCCCTCTTCCCCCTACACCCCTCCGGGTTCCAGCCTGGAGGCTGCTCCTGTGTTGTGTCTGGGGTCGATTCCGGGCCCGTGCGCTCGGATGCCACCAGCAGAAGAGAGGAAACTTGAGACCCTGGACTTGGATGGGGAG